TCTATCTTAGGATATCCATGGATATCCTCATTTGATTCTTCTTGAGAAATAGTTTCCTGAGGGTTCTGCTCAGGGTGTCTCAATCTACTATTACTGTACAAACATTGTTCTTTGGGACCTCTCCCTGCGTTCGAAACCACGAGAGATTCGACGACCTCCCAGGTTTCGCGTCGACTCAGAGTCGACCATGTGACCGGTCGGCGGTTCTCTACTCTCGTCGCCCCGTCGCCCCAGGCAGTGAGTTTCATGAGTTGGGTCTCCAACTCATGGACGGCCGACTCACGTGGATAGGCGGGTCGAACTGCGGCGCAGTTGCGCAGTGGCGCAGTTCGCATTGCACGAACGAGTTCGCTGTTGGAAGATTTTTGATGTTCTACTCAACCAGATTGCATAGCAAAAGTGAAGAGCCTTGGGGTATTTAACATGTTGAAGATCGCCGCTTTTCCACATGGATTTGCTAGGTTTGAGCGCCTTGTTTGTCATCGCAGAGCTTGATAGAGCTTGGAGCAGTCACATTGAGGAGGAAGGTGAGCTCCTGCGGAAGCGATACTCAGGCGGGGGATGGGGGGGAGCTGCTTAAGATTTCTTTATAAATGAGAGCGCAGTCGTTGATGCTCTTTTTTGGTCGGAAATTTAAGGTTGATCATTCAACTGATCAAAGCATAAAGGTTGAGTTACTTGTTGAAATGTTGACCTTTGAAATTAAGGTTGAATTTATATTTTTTATTTCTCGACCTTCCAGAAATTTTAGCTCTCCACGTCTTTTTCACAGGTTTCTACTTCTCTTATCTTCTCCCAAACGGAGGCCACATCCCCAAAAGAAAATGCAAGAAGAAGAATAAGAAAAAACAACATAAATGTTGGAATATTTTGGGGGCTCCGGACTCCGGACCTAATATAAACAGAAAGAAGAAAACGAGGCTGAGAACAAGATAAAATGATAAGGAACTACCATTATCAATGTAAATTCAATCCAGATAATGAAATAGTATGAACTAGTTCATATAGGGAATTCTCTTCGAACAAATGATTAAGATGTCAGCACCTGGAGTATTTATTTTGCTTTTTCTCTTCGACATAGTTAGTCACCGCCAAACAGATAATCAGAAAAGTGATAGAGAAGTTGACGCGGCTCGTACAGGCTAAAGGATCCTTGGTTTCGAGCATTTTCCACATGATATTTCATTTCTTGGCATTTCATTGTTGGATATTTTTTGTGGGGTTGCTATTCTTTTGTGTTGTGCATTCCCGATTCCCGATTCTTACTGCTGGGTTTAGGTAGTGTGGTGAAGGTAGAAGGAGAAAAGCAATGGCTGAAGGGTAAGACGGCTGGGAGACGAGCGTCGGACGAAGGCAAAGGAATCTTCGGACAGAACAGCGCGGCAGGGGCAGAGCACGGTCACCGCGACAGGGCGCATACTGCCCCTGGCAGTATTTGATCATAATGATCCCTACTATAGCCTTAGCACAAAATCTCTGTACCCATTTCATGAGATTGTTCGGAAAGTGGGATGGCATACTATATAGAGATATGATACATGTTTTTGCAATAGTCTGTTGTTGACACTAGTTCTAAAGCAATAGCAGACTGTTTGGGCAGCAGATGCCAGAGGGCTGTAAGAAGGCTTATAACGCTCTCAAACAATTTACCGGAAGATCTACTCATGGAAAGGGAACATGCGAAGCCTTGTGAAAAAAGAACATATATCATATACATTATACATGCATAATACAAATGTACTCTGACCATACAGGACAATTCTTTGGACCCTTTAGTCTAGTGGTTTCCGGGTAACTATGAAGTCTTGTCGAGATTCTTACTTTCTATATATTGATTCTATTGATTGGCAACTGGAAGATGAGCACCTGCCTAAGAAGGATGTCAAAAGATGTATCCATTTCTCATGGTCAAATGGATGTCATGCTTCAACAGAACTCCACTGGTCAAATCTTCCTGCCCACCCCCCCACCCACCCGTTCCATCTGTCCATGTCGTCCTCGTGCAGGGTCGATTCGCTGGGCTACTTGTTCGCAGCCAACGGATCAGCAGAACATTTGGGATGAGATTGGCGACAAGGTGGACGAGGTGGATCATGCGATTCATGTGCTCATCACCGCGGGGATCTCGTCTCCCTCCTTGCGCGCGGCCGCCAAGCTCGGGGTGGACATCAATCACGCAGGGCATGCGGAGGCGCAGGGGTGGGAGGAAAGGTGAAGTGGAGAGCCCCCTTTAAACCCCTGCGCTGCATGGAAACCTAGGGAGAACAGAATGTTGAGCCTTCCTTTGTAGTTCGAGCTGAATTATACAATGAAATAACTAAGAACCCAGATCCTGTTTTTGCTGGTTGAAAGTGTGTTTCAATTTGAGTCTCATGAGAGTTTTTGCTGCATCCGTGCCAAAGTTGATCATTCCTGAGGCAGCTGTTGCTTTTGTCGCGCTCGGACCATTGCTGGTGCTCAGCGCGTGTGAAATGGCGAACATAGCCTGTTGCGAGCTGCCTCAGACACCACTGGGCTGGATTTGTTTTTGCTTGGCCGTGGGCGGAGTGTTAGCGCGACTGATCCTCCTCGTCATGCTGTTCTCAAGTCCTGCAGACAAAAGATTGTTCATCCTGAAGGCAGATTCCTGGACAGGATTGAGCAACAGGATCATCTGCTATGGCTGTATATAGATGCTGTCGTGTGTTCCACCAAACGAAGTCGAAATAAACCTGACTCCAACATATTACATTGAGATTGCTTCAATTCTTGCCAAAGCAGCTTGGTCACCACCTGGCTCCAACCTGTTCTTGCCAAAGAGTGTATTCCATTGATTGCTTCAATTCGCCCCACCACGGTAGCTGACCTGGCTGACCCCAAGCTACCGCCAGGTGGTGACCAAGCTGCTCACAGCGGCGGTGTTCTGCCTGTCCATGGTTGTGATCTCTGTCTTTTTTGAGTGGCCAGGTGCATTGGGCGCATGGCATGCCACGTGAGGATGATATTATTGTTTTGAATGTGCTCAGATTTGGAAACAACTGACCCAAAGTCAGGCAGCTGCGGCAGGCAGTTTGGCTGCTGAAAACTATCATATACGAACCTCGATCTAGTGTGTCCCACACTGTTTGGGGATAAAAGGCAGAAGATTACTTGGCACACCGCAGCTGGCATTTGTTGTGATTCTTGTCCCTGGCCTTGGTTGAAAGTCCGCTTTCGAGGAACGATCCGACATCTTCCGCTTCCGACGGAAGACAGGTGAGACGTCTGAACGTTCCCCTTCGGCCCGAAAGACGCAAAGTTAATCCGGCACCCCGAACTCCGCGTAGAAGGCGCTCAGGGCTATGACTGTCCAATCTCCGGATATTTGAGTGGGAGTGGGAGTGGGAGCTCTTTTAGGTGTGTAGATGTGACACTCCTTGTTGGCTGTTCTTTCGAGGTGCATATCAAGCTGCTCACATTTGTTTAGCACTGGGCGATGCGAGCTTCTTGTTTTCCCTGGGCTTCTCTCTCCTGGGCATGGATCGTACGATGGCTCTTCCAGGCACGGCTCCACGGCGCCGCGCGGCTCGTCTCGGTGGACCTCACCCGGGCATCGGTGCGTGGGTTGGAACCCCAAACGCTGTAGCGGTGGACTGACTTGGCAAGTCTGAGTTGAAAACGTTGGTAACACCCAGTCGGGTTCAGTGCCCAATGTTGGAAATGTCAAAGCTCAAATGAAACATCCTCTTCTCTCTGGTTTTACTGTGTTACTTCAGAGATTGAAACATTTGGCAGGTGGCAAGTGGTTGCTGCAGTGCCTTGGTTCGATATGGCCACCTCTACCAGCTTTGGACGAGTGCTGGGGAGTGCCGGGGAGCGCTTTCTTCGCTTTCTTCAGGGCTCCACACTTCAACACTCCAAGAACATCCAAGAACTTGAAGACCCACTTCTTTGGTGACCCCTTCATTTGTTGAAGCCCATCTCTCTTTTGGTTTCTGCGCTCAAAACCGCTCAAAAGTACGAACATCATGCCTTTCGACTTCGATGGCGCAAGGCCCCAAGGCTTGTGACTCATGGAACTGGCTTCCTGGAACCATCAACCACCTGGGAACCATCCTGCCACCGACCTAACCAAGCTCGGCTTCAACAAATGGACGTCAATAAGAAACATGAATGGCAAGTGGTGCCACCCACCTCAGTTCGGCAGGACTAGTCCTGCACACAGGCTTGGAAGTCATGACTTACAAGTTTGATAGCCAGAACTCATCAGATTTGAGTCTTTATACTATACTATAAGTGCTATATGCTTCCTCTTCAGTTTGCACACGCCAATGGGGTGTTGTTTAGCTACTTGGATTGAACAGCACCTGCCCAGCCAGGTGGTTTCTGTCGCGGCAAGGAGGTCGCATACCAAAGGTATGCAAGACTTCTGTCGACACCGACTCCTCCGAGTGAGTGCCAACGATCGTCCAAAAGAGGCTGTCAAGGGGTAATGTCCCCACGACTGTCTTGTGATTTGGAGTTCCTGGCAGATCTCTTGACTCAATTGCCAAGTGGTGGTTTATATATAGGGGTTGGCCCAAAGCACTTGAGCCAAGCATTGATTCTGTTCATTGAAGAGTCTTTGGATTTCTTTTTCACCTGCCCAGTTCCATTGGGTGTGCAGGTTGGGTGTCCAGTGGGACGAACAGCCGGTTGATGTTTTCCTTGTCATTCATGTGTAAAACGTCAAGAATTACTTGGTGTTCCATGTTGAGCCATCTTTTTGGGTTCAAGATAGCTGGGGATTGCATTTCATAGACTCCTAGATCTATCTATTTCTTGTCAATCTCCGTATCAACTGTATCAACCAAATTTCTCGGCACAGACTGACTCATGAAAATGACATTTCATTGCGCTCCAGATTCGATACTTGTTTCTCGACAAAGCCTCCATTGCTTGTTCCACTACTTCCATCAGAACACCGAGACTTTCTCAACGCTCACGACATGTCACCGCGACTTGGGCGCTCTGCGAGAAGATCTACTGGAGATGCCATCGCCATGCACGAATCCGTCGCGCCAGACCGCTGGTGTGTGATTCGGCGTGGTGAATATCCCAACCAAAAAACATGATGAAACATCTACGCAATGGCAAGTATCCGACTGGCTTGAGTACTATTAAAATCTTTGGTGGGTTATCTTGTGACTAGTATCCTGTACAGTAGTCCTTTCCTATTCTTATTTGTCAAGATCGGTCTTTCAGTCAAGCAGTCTGAGCAGTCGGATGGCCATGGGGTCGGCGAATGGCCATGGATGGCCATAATAAGGTCGGTGCAGCAACAGAGGTATATATCGCTTCTTGTAGCGAAAAGTAGACGGGGGGTCCATATGAAGGGGGATCCATAGAACGTCAAATAAGACCCGGAGCACCCTCACTGACCTGGGTGCCGGGAAGAGAGAGATGGGCCCCTTCTTGGATTTGGTGCCTCCTGCTTTTGGCCTTTGGAAGTGTTTGTAGGGTTGGAACACCTGTGTCTATAATTTTGTCTCTTGGCCGTGCCAGTGCCAGCTCTGTTTTACATCACAAAAAGAGATCATCTGAGTGGGCAGTTTCCACTCACCCAACTTGGGCATCGGCAGATGTGGCTCGTGGCCTTTTTCAACTATTTGGTGTATCCTTTTTCTTCAGCTTTTAGCGTCGAGATGCAAAGATGGAACTACCAATGAACATCTTGTGGGACCTTTGCTGATCGAATGGCACGACAGAATACCACAGATCCATCCCTGAAGTTGGTCAACCTCATGCAGACGGTGGGAACACGCCGATCTCGACCGAAAAAAGCAACCATCAAAAGATCCGTCAAAACGTACCTCTCCACAGGACAGTCAAACATCTCCAGACAACTTGGGTGGTTTTCATTAATCAACCATGTACTCGTATGGTCCACGTTTTGCCTTTCTTATCCTTTCTTAGTATTTGATGGTATTTGCCTTTCTTGGTATTTCTGGTATTCAGAGGGTTGGAACGCCTGGGAGGTTTGCACACTGTTACACACATAGAACCACCTCTCAGCTGTCGAACGACACCCCATTCTCGCTCCGCCACGGTGTCGAGGCCGTGCGGGGCCGAAGCCGTTCGTTCCTGAGCGTCAGGTGACCAAGCATGATCTCAAAGACTTGCGCAGCGACACTGGACGAGCACATAAGTGTTACAGGTTGATATCATGTTTCAGTTCAAATACACCTAATTAAGTGTCCTTTTTGAAAGCACGAAAACCTTCCCTTGGGGTATACAGAATTAACATCAAATAACCTGATTTCATATGTGACTCATGCTCATCATGTCCTCCCGTCAGCCCATCATGATGCCATACCGACCCATGTCCTGGCTGTCCCATGCGATCGGACCAGCCGGGCAGTGACGTGGGCCTGGAGGCTTTATGGGGGTACTAAGCCAAGGCCAAGTCAACCAAGCCCTGGTGTTTCTATAGGGTTTAGGGGTCATAGATGGTCATAGTATATATATATATATATATGAGGTGGGGTCAAAATAAGTGTAGACTACTTTAGTCAGGAGAGGTCGATGTGAATGGCTTAGGGTGAGGATGTATTGGAAACCGATAAGGTCCCCCCAAAACCGATAACCTATATGTATGATGGTATTTATTATCATTATTGACAGATCCTTGCGGTACCTGTTGCATGTCGAATGAAAGCCCCACTGACAGTACCCTAGTGGGTGGCTTCAGCCATATGATATGGAATCAATATTTTTGTTGCTGTGTTGTTCTTTTTCCAATCTGCAGCCATTTCTTGAAAAATCCGGATTCTATGTGGCCACTACGCCGATAACGAAACCAATAACTCGCCGATAACCGTTTGGATATGTTTTCAGCTTTCATAGCCACTTGCCCAGAGCCTGCTGACGAGACAGCTAAATTCCCTATCGAAGACATTGGTCTAGCCTTTCTTCTTGAGAACTTACGTGTTAGTATTTTACATCCCAGCAAACAGAAAGCCGATAAAGATTAAGATAGAGATAGGTACACCAAATTTTGCAAACCCACTCGAGATTGCAATGCTTTTGTCCGCCGCTGACAAGCGAGCTGTGAACAAGCTCGTCATCCATTGCTTCTGATTTCAGCGAGTAGGTAGCTGCGCTTCATGCATCCACAATGTAAATGCGAATGCCAAAAGCATCTGATTGAACAAAAAGCTGAAAACCGATAAGGTCTCCCCAAAAAACGATAACGATAAACAACATCCTTAGCATAAATAATTGATTTTGCCCGTGGCTCATATATATTATATATATAAGCGTCTGACATGCTCGTTCAGCATGCTCGTGCTTTCCTGGGCCCTGCTGCCCAGGAAGTGTTGAAAGCTATACAAAGTGGTCAAATTGCTTCTCCGAGCTCAACGAGCAGTCAAAGTGATGATGATAGTGAGACGAGCATGGATGATGATTACTACTATGGACCCAGCATTTATACCGTCAATGAGCAGTACATCAAGCCGGTCACTGCGCACGCCGGCAAGATGAGCTGGGCGTTGATGCGAAACCCCTACGGCTTGAAGTGCGACTTATTCGTCAGCCATGCCTGGCAGGAACATGACATGGGTCTGAAAATCGGGGGTCTCAAGGGACGGGAAGATTTTGGAGATTTACAAGGATTTCCCCGGTCAATTCAGGAGGGATGCCAAAGACTGAGTCTAGGCAAGTGAACTGTCCTGGATGGGACCACATGTCATGAGAGTTTACCTCAAACATCATTGATTCCTACGCACCTGCTGTAACCTCTTTGTGCCAAACCTTGTGGGCAAAGGCTGTAGACGCTCGATATGACATGAAAGCAAATTGGACCCAAATGGGTTGGAAGGTGCTCCTTCGCTATCCTTGTGTTCAGTTTGTTGTTCAGTTGTTGCTTGTACCCCATCCTATTTTGTTACCTTCGAGCATGGAGGATCTCCCTTAAAAAGACAGGTATACAGTATACATACTACAGTAGATGTATGCATTTTCTGGAATTGGCAACCTGACTGACTTGGATAGGTTCTTCAAAAGACCAGCGGCAAACAAATCAAACGAGAAAAACAACAACATGTTTTTGTTCGCAGGAAGGAATCTTCGAGTTTCTCTCCAAAGTGCTGAGCTCCTGGCCCTTGGCCGCACATCGTGCGAGACATGCTTGGTGCTGCATGTTGGCCAATCCACAGAACCTCAACATCGGCAGCTTGCACCGGACGCGGCGCGGGCGGAAACTGGTTCTACATCGGGCCCGCAATGAGAACGGGAGCTTGGGGGACGATGTTGGGGGACGATGTGTGAACGGGTCCAAGTGGTGGTTGCAAGGGCTCTTTTTGCGGGCTTGGGCAGTTGTTTAGTTTCGTGGTTTGATTTTGGGGGTGGCCAATGGGTTCCGTCCAAGTTTAGAAGAGAACTGCTGGTGTTGGTTGATTGTACTTTTTGGGACGTTTGGAAGTTCTATGTCCACGCACAATGGATGTCGCATGATGCAAGCCACATTCTGCTCAAGTGCATGTTGGCTAATTACTGTAGATTCCACTGTAGATAAGATAAACAAAGGCTCTTCATCCATCAGTCCACCGATGATGGGATGTTGCTTGTAATTCAGTTGTTGATTCATGTTGAATCTACAAGTTTCCACGCTGGGCGCTGACCCTACATGATCAATCTGTGGCTTTCGTTCTTCAGGTCCTCTCTTGTCAACTTCTTCGATCCTAGGTTCGATGCTCCAATCGCCCCGTTCCTCACCTTTTGCGTTGGCCTTACAAGCGGCCAGCTATGTCATGGTGGTGCCCAACCGACATAAAAGCGTCTACAGTCGCCTCTGGTGTGGCTACGAGGTGCGGTTCCACTTCCGACCGCCGAATCCAACGCGACCGACCGCAGAATCCAACCCGTGGTGACCCGGTTTTGGGTGTTTTGCCACGACGCCATGCATTGGGCCGACCACTCCAAGTAAGGCTATGCAGTGGACACTGCATTTTCAGCTATAGCTGGAGATTGATTGGACGTGCATGGATGCATGGACATGCCATGACAGTCTTTGTTCATCCAATTCAGTCACTGAAGATTCAACGCATGTAACTCACAAATTTCCCGGAGCACACTGACCGGGCCTTTTCTCCGGAACACCAGCAGACACAAGCACAACGAAAACGCACCCCTTCTCCTTTCGGATCGCCTGGCCTGGTGAAGGCCTATGTCGCCTCGGAGGATGCCAAGATCATTCGGATTGCCACCGCGCCATCTCGGAAGCCCATGGGCTTAGCATTGCTTGGAGCGTCTTTGCCCATGCTTCTGGGTACCTCCCTGGGCATCTTGGCACGGGTCCCTTGGAGCGCAGACCGTCCGTCGTGGTCCAACGAGTCGTCAGACGTGGAACCCGTTTGGCCCCGACAGAAGACGGATGAACGTTTGGGAATCGACTCAGGATGGATTCAGATGGTCATTTTCCCACAGGAGTTCGTTTTGCTCGTTTCGTGTCCACGCCTTTTTGGACAGGATTTCCATCGCCACACAAATCGAGACATGTTGGTTTCGCTCAACCTGTCCATGCGAACGTGTGAGTTTCAGGTCCAAAAAGGACGGATCCAATGAGTCCTGGGCAACGGGCAGGGAAAGGTTTCCCCCAGCTGCGGTTTCTTCTCCCCGGTCAAGCAACGAACCAAACCACATCCATTTCTCCCACCAGGTCACCACCGAGTGCACCGTGAGGTCTTTGATTGGGAGGTGAGAGTGGAGGGCGTTCTGGTCGCCACTCTGGCAGCGTTGTTGAGCGCCTTCACCCGGAAACGTTGCAATCAGGCGCGTTTGTTTGTGCGCAGGACTTGACGGCTTAGACCGGTTGCAGCGTCCGGTATGAAGAAGTGGCTTGCAATGCAAGAGTCATTCTATGGATGGCTATGGAACAGCACTCTAAAGACGAGTGGGTTGGAGACAGTCAGTGGTACTGGTATTTGATTCTGGCGGATGTTTGATGTTTTCATATGTTTTCTGACTGAATGGGTCATTGACCAAGATCTGCATTTGGCTGACATCAGGCTGCGAACTATTTGGGACTGCTGGTATGTACCTGCTTGGATGCTGGGTTGTGTTGGATTGGAGGTTCAGAGACGGTGAGGCTCGAGAGCTTGGTCAACGCCTTCAGAGACGGTCAGAGGTGGTTGTTCTCATGTTTAAAAACCTTGTTTGGCAGTGGAATCCGCTGGGAAGGTTGGATTTGTTCCAGAAGATTCCCCGGGATCTGTCACGCATGCACAAGATTACGCAAGTATTATCCAATGTGAACAACTTATGTTGTGGGACTGTCCTATGACCTCTATCATCCACTGCTGTTGCTGATAATAAGATCCGCCCAATTTATGTGGAGGTTTATTTCAACTCACATGGGGTATACAGGCCTTTTTAACGTTAGCAGAGCGGTCAAGCCCGTCTCGGAGCCTCTCCAGGAGCCCATGAGGGGCCCCCGTGACACGGCGCACCAGTTTGTGACGTCACGAAAAGCTACGAAAAGCTTCATGGAAGTTTGAAGCGGTGATTCCGAATTCCTGTCATCATATTGACAACTTGTCTCTCATGATTCAATGAACTTGTATGGGATTCTCAAGCCTTTGCATAACGCCATAATATATCATGTAGCAAGTTAACATATTATATATATAATATGTATTACAATTTACAATACACAAACATTAATTGTTTACTATACGGTCTTTGGACCATTGACTGGTGACCCTTGGGCTTTCAGCATCGAAATCCTTCTTTTTTGCCCAAGTCCCACCGCCGGCTTTTTGTATGTCGACAGATCCAGGAAATACGTTGGTCTCCCTTACGGAGAGCCTTGAGGCGCACTGGGATAGGGTTTACGGTTTTTCTTCCAATTCGATTTGCCTTGTTTGAAGCATATACTGGGCCTTGAGGGTGTTTTTGTGGCTCTCATGTCCAATATCTTGTGGCGTGCAGCACGGAGGAACCTCCCAAACCCCCGGAAAGGTCGCACGATCCTCCGGGGATCCTCCGCTCTGCCGGAGGTTTCAAGCGTTGCCACCCCCAATCGAGAACATTGCACAGCACGTCACGCGTCTTGGCAACGTACCGACGCAAGGAGTAGTATAGCCGAGTGGTGAAGGGTGTGTCTCAGCCTACTCGAGTACGCACCGACTACATAGTAGCCAAACCATAATGACTGGAGAAGGTTTATGCTTTGACCATGCTTTCACCCAAGTTTTTGAGAAGCTGAGAGACACGGAGACACTGCCTACCTAACCTAACCTTCATAGCGACCGGGGATGGACTTTCATTCTGATTGAAGGTAGAAGAAGTATCGAATGCATGGCTTATCCGATCTCATCCTTCCTTCCTGTGTGAGGCACTTCCATTGGACCAATCTCCAGAATATGTAATATAGACCGCAAGGAACATGCCCTAGCCTGATTGGCACTTTGTTGTGATCGTGCATGTTGTTCAGGAATGATACTTTTGCATTCAAGAGGTGCTTGTTCTTTGCTTCACTGCAGGTTTCTGGGCTTCACCAGCTACTTCGTTCTGGCCGAGAGCGACCGTGTGCGCAGCCTCCAGATCGAGGAGGAAGGGCGCCAGCTACGGAAAGGTTACCAGGGCTCAATTCGTTTTGCTACTCGGCGTAACATTATCCGCCCACTGCGGTGTATGGCACTGAGTGGGGTAGTTTTATGTTCTGCGAGGCGGGCAATGATCCAACTTGTTACAGTTGGGCCAATAGTTCGCTTGTACGCCTACCAGTGTTCAGTGAAAAGGAGCACTGTTTGAAAAGAACACGTTTTACATGGTCATTGACTTGGAGGGAATCATGTACGTACTATATAATACCCCCACTCTTAAACATGCAATTTGGGGACCCCCACGTCCATGCCACTTAAGGGTGGGCACATATACTTCATCATCACTGACCACCTAAGCGGATCCGTCGTTCGATCCGAGGCCGACTGCACCGGGGCGGCGGACCGGCAGAACATTTGGGATGAAATTGGAGACAAGGCCATGCCGGCCATGCGAAAGATGCTCAAGGAGATGGCCGGGGTCTTTTTGGAGGTCTTATTGGAGTCTAACTAAGGCACCGATGGATAGACCATGTTGTATTGGAAAGGAAGGTCTCTCTGAGATTTTATGGAGGGTCTTAGATCAGAAAGCCATCAAATTTGCAGCAAGCAATCCTTGGTGAGTTTTGTGCAGATGTTGTTCAGTACCCAACTCCGAGTTTCATTTGTTCATGATTTAACTAGTACTCTAGACCTGAAACACCAGGACTGATTTGTATACACGAGGCTGAGGATGTATTCAGATTGTTGTGAATCGACTCTTCAACTGTCTCCAAGAATCAAGGACCCTCACAGCCTCAAAGCTGAATGTTTTTGAGATGTGCGGGCCCAAACATTCAAGATCACCCATTTCAAATACGTCCAGATGCTACAGACCTCCCCACCTTCCCCACCATCACCGACCTCAGCGGTCCTCGGCGGTAAAGACGCCTCAGGTGGACGCCGTGGACCACGCGGTCCACGTCCTCATCTCCGCGGGCGTCTCCTCGCCAGCGCTGCGCTGCGCTGAGGTGTCGCCGTGGAACGCGGTGTCGCACGTGGCACGCGTGGTGTGTCGAACTCATGGCGGCCTTGGGGGGGCTTGAGAGGGGGGGTGAGGGGTAAGTTCCCCCAGAAGTGGCAGTAGCTTTACTGGACCTGATCGAAACACCAAGTGAGGCCACGTGGATCGACGATGTGCGAGGCAGCGACGAAGCACACCTTTTCTATAGCTGCGGATGCAGTATTGGGCTCCGATAGTCTTGAGCCAAATGAATTAGGTCACTAGCGGGCTGAAGAGCTACATACAAGTCTATCTACAAAGAACAGGTGCTACACATGTATAGCGTAGACACGCCTAGGGGACCTAGGGCATTACAAACACAGGGGGACAGGGAGAAGGGCAGGGCGACGGACTGGACCAGGAATTCGTCCGATCATGGATACTGGAAGAGTGAATCACTGTTGAATCCCGGTGCCCATCTTCCCGACGAATGAGGGCGTCTCTTTCGTCGCCCTGAAAAGCGTCACCATTGAATTCTTCAGAACAGTGTTCGTTTTGACATCGAAAGCAAAGCATGTTTTATGTAATTTAATGTATATACAGGTCTTCGGAAGTTCCAACGGCCTTCACGGATTTCATTTGAGTTTTCATCCTTTTTGCCTGGAAGTCGGGTGAGGGTAAATTGAGGGTAGCCCCCAGTACTGTTCACAACCCTGCTTGACCTCAAACTTGACTTGAAACTTGAAACCTTCCTTTGACCACCCTGTGAAACATGGTGAAGCAGTGGTTAATCTGGAAGTGCTTTTCCCGTGAATGGCGAAGGAAGTCTTGAACTTGGTGTTTTGCTTTGCATCGTCAGGCAACAAAACTTGAATTTCCTTTGGCAAAGTTCTGGCCCGAAGAGAGCTTCGGTCCAGTAACCATTACAAATTACAAGGGGGGGCCAATACTCATCCATTTCCTTTGTTCCAGCACCGACTACAATTGGGGTTACCGACTGCGGTCAGGAGCAGGGCGTCGACATCCAGGACGCTGGCCATGCGGAGGTGGCCATTGCTGTGGCCCTTTGGATACGACGAGCGTTTGCCGGACCGGACATTGAATGATTTTTTGTAAAACATGATCTTCACTGCAGAAGACTTGATTACTCAAAACCATGATTTTTAAATATGTTTAATATTGATTTGATTCAAGATCATGTAGCCGATGTTAGGTTCAATTCCGATCTGATTCGTTTGAAAACAGAAGGGAGCTTTGCCTAGCAATTATGGTCAACCCCCCCAAGATAATGCTCACGTCGCCAGCAGTGTTCTGTGAATTACTGTTTGGGGTGAAGGACAGGGGTGGGGGTCCAGAGGGAGAGATACTACGTGGTTGCAGTTGCAGGATTGGATTTGTTGGCAGCTTGACAAAAGGATTGTTCTTCTTGGGATCTAGTGGAGGGAACGACATGATTAACATTCCTGTCAAATTCTGGGATTGCGGTGGAACCTTCACACCTCTTCAACCCTTTTCATGTCATTTCCTTTCTAGATAGCTTCAAGGAACATCACCCATGACCTCAAACCGACGGGTCAGTCAGAAACGAAGCACAGGTCTTCAGCCGGATGAAACGGGTAGACCATGGTAGACCCGGGTAGACGGTAGAGCACAAATTATACAGGGCCGGTCTGGAGGTCTTCCTTTTTTGTTTGCCACATTGCAGATCCGACACAGGTTCAAGATATCTCGTCTTACTGGTCCACCCCGCGAAGAGGTGGCGGTTGTTCTTAAGCCACCACAAAAAATTGCCTTCCGAACTGAGAGTGATGACAGTTGATTACGCTGCTTCACATGTCTTCAAATCTTGTAGGTTCGCAATCTTCTATACGACGCGTTGACTGAGGTCTTTTTGGGGCCCTTCCTTTGCCTCAGCATTCTGAACCCAACAGTTGTGATCCTGGTGGATGAGCAGACCACTCTGAGTTGGACCAACACCAGCGTGGTTCTACTCGGAGCTTTTGCGCGGCTGATGTTCCTGGTGGTCATGTGCGCCCGTTCACTGGATGAGCGGAGCTTCATGCTGAAAGTCATTTCCAAGCTGATGACCAGCATCTTAGCTTGCATTGCTACTGAAAAGATCTGTGGTTTCCCCTTAGATCATAATTTACATGTTGTAATCGATAGGTTTGATCAAGAAGCCGCAAAAGGTTCATAAGCGTCCACTAATTATGGATGGTTGATAAACTCAACCGACACCTCGCCAGCCATATCAGTTAGCAGCAGCGGGGAAGCTCCACCTGAACACCCAATGAAGCCAGCCTACAAATCCTGGCGACGCGGAATTCTCCATGTACCGCCCATTTCCCAACGCCCCACAAATACCAGGATACGAGAACAAGAGATAAACAAGTGATTGTCTTGAGTTGGCATGATGCCTTTTGTTGTTCCTGCCAAACGCTTGGTATTCTAAGGAAGCCCAGCTCTCATCATCCCAGGTCCCAGATCGATGGTCTGTGGGGAAGCCCACAGTCCTGCAACTCCATCCAGCCTCCCTCCAGCCATCCAGCGGGTTCTCATGGCCCGTAGAGCTGACCTTTTGAGATTGAGAACGAACCCGCGCACAACGGTTTCTGTACCAGGACCCTCCAAGGGGCGTCTATTTATAGTCCCTTAGTGTCCACTAACCACCCATTGGGGGTCCTGGTATGTCACTGTACATCTTGCTTGCTATGGAAAACGGATCTTATCCAGCAAGTCAGCAACTGTCAAGCAAACTGTCAGGCCTCATCTTATTTGGGCCCGGTCATAGAATTCTTCGCCGATTCGTTCATTTACCCAACGAAATGGTCGTGTCGTTTCAGTCTGTCGGTTTCGTCGGAATGGTCGAGGCGTGGGCCTTCCAGCCGTTTCAGTGATTGCAGTGATCGTCCATTTCAATGACCACGTGGCCTCTCTCGTGGTGAAATGGGTCTTCACTAGCTCCTCGGTGTTTTTTTGTTTTGTCGCCGTCACGGGCATGTAGGGGAGTGCCTGAAGAGATTATAACGCCATGATTTAATAAGTTATGTAATGTATATAGTTATACTTGTTGGAAGGACAAGTGACATTCACAAACAATATCTTTATAGAAAACATGGAGATCTCGACGGGATGTCTCTATAGGAATAATGGTTTCATGCCAGCAGGAACTGGTGTTAGTTTTTCTTTGATGTGCTTAGATAATCGGCCTGGTTCGCAGAGAACTTGTCTATGGAGTCCAGAGGAATGTGTGATTTACTCAACAGTTTTTGGAAGTTGGGGTTCATTTTGGGACTTAATTGGCGCCAAGAGTTTGAAGCAGGGGGTGGTTCTTGCTTGTAACAGTCAATAGTTAGTACGGCAAGCTCCTTCCCGTACGGAAGGATCCCCAATAGGCACCGAAGAGTACCGGCCTTCCACGCCAGGCTTCCACGCCACTTTTGTCGTTTCACTCCTCTTCGCCCTCCTTGGAATCAAGGGCACCCTTGCTCTCCCAGGCCTCGGATCATTCGAGATTTCGCTGGTTTGACTCGTGGGTGTTGAGTCAAACTCCGACTGCTTGAGTACAAGAGGCTATGATCCGAGCCAGAACAAATGGGCCTGCTGAGCCATAAGTTTAAAGTCTGTCAATCAGGTTCCAAGTCGCTGCACTGGTGCATGGAAACGTCCTCCTTTGGACACTTGGGCCCGCACAACGAACAGCCATTTCTGCTTATTGCTAGGGTATGCTACTGTAGGGTGTGTCCCAGGAACCAGTAAGAGTCGGTAAGTAAGAGATCATCACTTTTTTAATGGGGTTCTGGGTCTCTACCAAGCTGTTACTGGTCTGTCGACATGTTTTAGGACGTAACAAGAAGCTACTAGGAGCTCCTGACATCGCTACTGGAGCAAGGACGCTACTAGGGGCTCCTGGCGGTACTACTAGGAGCAAGTAGCTACTAGTAACAAGAAGCTACTAGTAACAAGTGCATCGCTTCTAGTAACAAGTGCCTTACTAGTAGTAACAAGGACGCTACTAGTAACAAGAAGCTACTAGGAGATGCTCCTGGACCGTCTTTTGGGCGAATCCGACCTCTGGGAGAGATGAGGGACGCGGGTGAGCGGGGCTGTCGACCCTCCAACCTACGGGCCCCACGGGGTGTGGAGAGAGTCCGTTGATGTTTATAGGCTGATGACGTTGACGAATTGGGAATGAACAAACTGACTCGTGCTTTAATAATATGTTCAGTATCCTTTGTAATTATCGTACTGGGTTTGCTTGATCCTGGCGTGACAACAGAGGAAGACCATACCGAAGATTTTAATACGTGGTATTGATTCTTCCTGGGAAATTAACAAGACCTTGATAAGGGGCAAAAACGACCTCACTCAACGATTTGATTCATATTCACCGATGGGTCGTTGGACCACTTTTGGGCTTGCTGTGTTTGTTTCCATGGTGTTTTGTCTTGGACATGCGTGTCAATTTACACGGTGTTCCGGTGTTCCTCAATCAAATTGTGTGTGTACATTCTTAGAGCATGGTTGATTTCTTTGTTTCTTAATGCTGCCCTCTTTTGGTCGTAAAAGCAGGACCTAGCTTTCCGGAGGTCGCAAAGCTGGACGATCGGTCGGGCTGATCAAAGCAACCACCACGGGCGTTGCCAGGAGGTAAACATCTCTTGCAGCCTCTTGGCTGAAAGCACAACAGAAGGAAGCTGCCGGGTGCTTTTAATGTTTATTTTGTTTGCCCGGTGTGTTGGGTCCTTTTTCGGAATGGTTCTAGTAGAGGCCTCCGGCATTTCTGCTGAGCTCCAGGTTCTATTTCTTTTTTGCAAAGTGTTCCGAGTTGCAATGCTTCTCAGAGCGTTACTCTTTAAACAGAGCCAGTGGAGGCAGTTTTGGGACCGCGAGCTGCGTGTGCATGATAGTAGAGACTCGGGCTCCCAGCCATAGATATAGATAAGATAAGATTTTGAGATCAACACCAAGTGGTGGTCATGACAGGTACCCAAACAATCCACATATAGAAACTATACCTACATGGTGGTGGTTGGAGAGGTCAGGCATATATTCCATATTATTCCATACATTGAATGTCAGCTTCGTTCCAATGGCCCCACCGATGGACCCACGGACCAGTTTCAGCTCCCGCCGACGCTCGCCGACCTGCCGCTCCGCTCGAGAAGTTCCGCAGACCTCCCGGGTTTGCCGCGGCGGCTTCTGCGCCGATGCGCGCCCAGACGCTCCGGGAGGGACTGGAAGATATGGACATTCACCCCTGAAACTAGGTCCAATGTAAATACTCCGTACATGGAGCGTTTGGGCAAGGTACTTCTACGCCCGGAGGTTGTGCTACAGCGGTCCCGGGAAGTCATCTCCATCGCTCAGTTCCAGCGACACTGAGTGAGATCGAGATGGCGTCGAAGGCACCGGGGGGAGGGAACATCTCGATGCACCAAAATGAAGTCCTCAAATGACATGTGCATAGATTGCCATGGATCCTGATCAGACTAACAGAATCTGCGGTGTTGATTCATCAGGGATAGCATATCTTACGCATGATTTAAGAAGCTCAATTACTTGTCTACAGCCCACAGGCATTGCTCCATGTGCTGTTGCATCTTTGGAGATCATTTGAGGCCATCAAGTTGCCACACGTTTTGGGCAGCATGTGTTTTTGCTCACATGGCAGAGTACAACTACCAAAAAGAGTAACCTTTTGGTTTGGAGCAACATGAAAAATACCAAACATAGGACTTTGTTTTGTCAAATCAGGCATCAGATGAGGTGTCAAAGAGTTGCTAGAAGAACTAATTGCCACGCCAATAGCTGTTTGCAATCTACTATATTACACTCATCATCAGAGGTTTGTACAATTTGTTGCCTTTGCTGTAAGGTACTTTAACACCGTCCCATGAGTTTGCCTCTAGCTCACTCAAATCACGTCGTGATAGCTTCCTAACGTCACCATAGGCTTCTCTGTAGAAATAAAGGATCCCATAAAAGGCATGTTGATCATCTCGGAGGAAGGTTGTAAGTTTGGGCATCCTCCCCTTTCTGTCATCTCCAACAAAAATAACGATCAGATCTTTTCGTATGAATATCATGTGCAAGTCTGGCGGTCTAGGATCTTCATGACCACAATTAGATGTTTGTCAGAGGTCCAACTTTTGAACACTTGCCTTCTCAGACACCAAAAGAAGTCGTCTACCTAGCGCGTCCGTCCTGGGTGTCCAACGGTGACCTATAAGCAGCGCAGGGTTGTCCATTGGAAGCAGCTGGTACAGATGTGTCCTAATACAGATGTGTCCTAATTTATTCGTTCATAGCACTCAGCACTCAGCACGACACCCCCAAACAGTTGGTCGACAGTCGTTTGCAGCCGTTGCTACGTATGTATCCGGACTCCAACGGCGAAAAAATCCCAAGTGGTGGTTGATATAGGAATTGGCCAGAAAAGACTTGGGGATTTGAGCCAAGAGTTCCTATTGAGTCTCGTCATGGTGCTGGTGGGTCAACACACCACATTGGCCACTCGAGGCGAATAAACCCTGCGCCACTGTGCAGAGCGAAACAATCGGCTGACCCGCTAGCGGAACCACTTCGCTGTGAGCGCAAAATCTGGTGGCAAGAGCAGGAGTAGCTGAAGTAGCCCAGACCATTCATGTGTAGGAATAGTTACATACATTGAGCCATAGTTTGATACTGTAGTAGGCATGGAAATTTCCATACATGGGCGGTCGTTCGGTAAGGTAGGTCTCCGACTTGATTTCTATCCTTCAGTCATCGCTTATATTATATATAGAGCCTATTAGGTCGCCGCTTCTCGAGGAGAAGGAAATAATCCAAGGAGTTGACGTGTTTGACGGAGTGAAACACTGACTGATGACTGCCAAGTGCGGATGTATTCTTTGCCCTCAAGGGGCGCTTGGCAGTCATCTGACACTTGGCAGACTTGCCCAGGTTCCACTATGTTTATGTGTCATTACTTCTTGCCCCTGTGGGTCTTCTGAGATTCGTTCACACCCTGCTTCCACATGCCCTGACTTCAGCCTTTTAGCCATCCATGAACTGACTCCTCACACGGGTGTGGAGGTCCTTCTTGTCATGGAACCCATTTGTATGGAGAACCTTGCTGAAAGGGTCAGACTGTTCATGGAGAAACCCTTGTTGAATGAAGATACAACCTGGGATGGAGAAGCTCTTGATGGATCATATCTCCAACAGGTTGTACGTTGCAGGTGGTGGAAGACTTTCTAGATTTTTCTACAAGCACTTCATAAGCTGTGTTTCACTGAGGATCATTTCTCCGAGTAGAAATTTGCTGGTCTTGGTAGTTTCCATTCTCCGTAGATCGTTTTTCCTGGGCAGACCTCGAAGATGTTCCCCCACAGTTGGTGGCCCGAGTTCCCTTCAAAAAGGAGTGCACTGAGACAAGGATTTCAGCCGGATCCTGATTACCAAAAGCCTAGGATTTCTTTGAGCATCCGAACCCAAATCTAGATCTGCGTCTACCTGCGTGGTCAACATCCCAAAACGAGGACCCCGTGTAGATCCATGAAACTTCCGAGCACGTTGTGTAAAAGAAAGGTTGAAGTCCCTGTAACCTTGCAACACGGTTTTTATATGAGGAATAAAGCCACAGGGGTCGTGGGATATACATGCAATTCTGGAAAGTCAAACGATGCAAAAGTCTGCTAGCCAAGGGCAAAAACTAATGCTTGAAAGTTTAAAGACAGCACACACACAAAACAACAACTAATTATGATATATAATAAACAATCACACGCATACGTAGCTGTGGCATCATGTCAATATGTACCCCTCCTTCCGGTGGTCACATCTCTTCTCATCTTGACTTCCCTTTCGCCGCCAGCTTGGCTTATAGCCGATATAAAGACAGCAGCACAGCACCCAGCCGCTGCACCATGTCTTCCCGGAGCATCACCAGTACCGCCCTCGAGATGCACCAAAAGGCACCGGGGCGGTGGGCGGGGCACTGCGCCGCGACCCGTCTTCGTGCGGATGCGATGCGCGTTTTGGGTTGGGTCCTTTTGACTACTCACAAAGGATCTTTCTGCGGACACAGAATCCAATTGAATCCTGTCATACTGTCGAAAGCATTTGCACTGCCTTCCGCACTGCCTTCTGGATAGACATAAACTACGTACTAGTTACTAGTACTAGTTCCAAAAGTTATCGATTTCAAGTATTATCTGACTTGGCATTTGCATGTCTTCATGAGACTGGATGCGGCTGTACCCAGGTTTCTTGAAACAGAGTCCACAACTCAGTTTTCCACGCTTTCAGGTATCTCCGGATCGATGGTGCGTGACGCGCTTGGATCTCAAGTACTTGCATGTTCAAGTCCTTGAAGCCGTGCAAGCAGGGCAAATCTTCTCCAGATCGCAGCTTGACAGCGGAGGGGAGTGGGAAGGTCAAGCTAGTGACATATTCTTACATGGTGGCATGGTGGCATGGACAAACATTGAGAGATCTCATGCTGTTCACCATGTATGCAGAAACAAATGTCCAAGTTCCCAATATTCCGTGCTGTTGGGTGATCTCGCTGCCCCACCAGCCCTCCAAGATGGAATGATAAGTTTGTTTTCAGACAGTACAAAAGTGCGTATGGCAGATGGCAGTGGGAAAGTCTCAGCATCTCTTGCTTTTGCTTTCAGGCTCGTTGAACCAGACGTCCGCAGCTCGTTGAACCAGACGTCCGCAAAGTCCATGATGTTGAAGGTTCCTCCAAGATTCTGATTTGACTAGATTCTGATGCCAAACCCATATTTCAATATACGGTATATTCTGACAAGAAGTCAACACTCATAGGATTGAGGTGCCTTCATCTTGAGACTACCCACTTCTTTGGACATCTAGAATCCAGCTGCGATGCCAGACTACCCTTCCTAGGTGCAGTGGAGACACAGCAGGCACTCAAGAGTCTTAGAGGCACTGGTCGACGCTTCGGACGCTTCTCCAGGCAGTGACCACCAGGGTTCCCTCCGGAGCCGAACGCCGTTCCGCGGTCCACCGCTCCGTGGCGGTGGCGGCCAGCCGATGGCGTTGCACCGCATGGGTGCGCTGCAATGTGGCAATCGCATTGTCTTAGAGTTGATGAGTGCTCCTGAAGAAGCTGCTTCGTATATTGTAACACGAAGGGACGTCCAGCAGGGGGGGATCCACATACCTTTTTGCTTTGTACGACTGGACCCTGCTGCTGACACCTACATCAAAGAGGGTCCAATCATTGTACCTCAGAGGGTTTGTGGCGATGAACTCTGGCGCCACATTGAACGCCTCATGTTGAACTTTGGAAGATGAGATCCTGGGTGCGATCGTCTTCTCAGGCCGTATCGGGGCACAAGTAAACCTACGGATTCTTAGGGACCACACATGGATCCACACCCCAAAGATCCAAAAACTTGGGTATTTGTCCAGAAGAACCAGGGTGTTGCACAAGCAATACCATGCAATACCATATATAATATTGGTATGATATGTACCAGGACCTTCCAACAGGTGGTTTTGGACACCCAAAAAGGCCTCTAAGAGGCTATGCATGGAGACCTCTTGAGGGTCCTGGTTTGATTAAGATGATGAAACTGGAAACTAGAGGATTCTGTAGGCTTTGGGCCCGAAGCTAGCCGGAGGTCTTTCGCCGCTAGCTTGCCTCCCAAGAACGGGCGGGCCGGTTTGGGCATGAGGGTCATATTTTTAAATCCTGTGCAGAGTGACACGAAATCATTACGTACTTTTCTGAAGCGGCCTTTAGCTACTAGTAGCTTCTTGTTCTGAAATCACCACCCTTTCACATCTGAGGAGAGTGAAGACGATGACGAGTTCGGGCCCAGCATCTATACCGTCACTGAGCAGTACATCAAGCCAGTCACAGCTGAAGCGGGCAAGATGAGCTGGGCCTTGATGAGAAACCCTTTCGGTTTGGATTGTGACTTGTTCGTGAGCCACGCCTGGCAAGAAGGCATCTTCGAGTTTCTCTCCAAAGTTCGCACTTCTTGGCCTCGAGGCGCGCGCGTGGTTCTATCTCGCGCGGGCACGTGGTGGAGAGCGACGTTTGCATCAATTCTTACATTCAAGAAGTTACCAGCTTCATCCAGCTTCTGTGAGAAGCCAGTTTGAATAGACAAAAATCTACCAATCTACCCAGCTTTGGCCGGGTCATGGGTTTGTGCACAAACACAACACCTGCCATTTCCATCCTGTCGGGGTCATGGCTGCAACTCGTCTTAGGTGCCCGAAATGCTTGGTGCTGCATGCTCGCCAACCCACAGAACCTCAACGTGAGCTCCATGCTTTTGTCGCCTCGGGCTTCGCCTTTTGCGCTGGCGTTACAGGCCTCCAGCGTGGTCTTGGTGGTGCCAAACCGGCACAGGAGCGTCTACACCCGCTTGTGGTGCGGCGACTCGGTGAAAAAGAGAAATCGCGAGGAAACACTTTCTGGCTGCGTGCCCACATATTGTAGTTGAGGTTCGGGACAGTATGGTGATGTTGCCTCCTTTTGCAAGACAGGCTTTTCCCCTCAGCGTTATTCGATTTGAGTCTTAAAACTAGTTTCAGGTTATGAGGCCTATGTCGCCTCAGAGGAGGACAAGACGATCCAAGTCGCCATGGCCCCCGGCCGCCGCTCCATGTGCTTTGCT